TTCGGGTCCTCAGTGTGCGCAGCTCAGTAAAAAAATGAGTCCTTATGTGTGCAGAGCCCTACAGGTGTCCAGCCCCGAGGAGGAGATGAGCACACGTTGGGTGCTGCTGGGGAAGGTACGGAGGCTCTTGGGGCCAGCTGGGAGGGAGGAGGGCAGGCCAGAAAGCACCTCTCCGGGCAGGACACGAGCGTGCCTAACCATCTGCTCTGGCTCTCTGCGCAGACCCTTGTAAAGGCGTCCTCAACGACATGAATCGCGTTTGCCGGGTGAACCCCCGCACCCGAAAGGCAGACCTGCTCTCCCGCCCCGAGAACTGTCCCCCAAAGAGGGAGCTTGTGTGCGGTGACGACGGGGTGACTTATGACAACGAGTGCGTGATGGGGCGCTCGGGGGCCATCCGGGGACTGGAGATCCAGAAGGTGCGTTCAGGGCAGTGCCAGCATCAGGGTAAGTACATCTCTGCTTCCTGGGGAACAGGAGCGCTTGGGTTCCCAACCTTCCCCGCCGCTCCGTGCCGTGCTCTCGGCAGCGAGAGTGTACGCCCTTCCCCTGTCCTCGGGGCGGGTGCGAGCGGCGCTGTCCTCCCTCCTCCCAGACAAATGCAAGGATGAGTGCAAGTTCAACGCTGTCTGCCTGAACCGCCGCGGCACTGCTCGCTGCTCCTGTGACCGCATCACCTGCGACGGTGCCTACCGGCCTGTCTGTGCGCGGGACAGCCGGACCTACAGCAACGACTGCGAGCGCCAGAAGGCTGAGTGCCACCAGAAGGCTGCCATCCCAGTAAAGCACAGCGGACCCTGTGGTAAGCACTGGTGCCGCTGGGCTGGTCGCCCGCAGGAACGCTGGTACCCCCCCACCTCTCACTTCCCAGCCCCAGCAGCCACTTTAAGCCCAGCTTGTGTCAGTGCATTCCATGCAGGCAACGGTGCTCGCGTTGATGCTGGAAAGCCGCAGGTAAGTTGCCACTGGGTGTCCACCGTTGGAGCAAGCCACAGGCTCTCTTCAGTCTTGCGGCCGACAAGCCCTGAATATCCGTTCCTCCCTGTTCTTTTTCCTTCCAGCAGTCAGCAGTCCGTGTGTTTGTATGTGCGTGTGTTCCTCCTCAGTGTCTTGTCTCTGTCTGATGTGCTCAGTAACACGGGGAAGAATCGTTTGTGTTTAAACAGTACCCAAGTGTCTGTGATGTCCAGCTGGTTTCTCTCATTCATCGCCGCAACCAGGCGCACATTTGCCACCATGCAGTTCCCGTGCAGCCCACGCCATTCATTTCTCCTCCCAGGGTAGTGCCAGTCCCCAAGCTCCTTCCATGCTTCCCCCTCCATGCCTGCCTGCTTCTCTCAGCTCCAGGTACTCTCCATAAGGAACTCTGCCCAGCGCGCCCGCTCTCTGGAGGTCTCGCCATGTCTTTGTCTCATCTCTGGGAGAAGCTTTTGACCTTTCCAATGGATGCTTTTTCAGGCGTATGTGATAGGATGGGGCTTTGGGTCCCTAGGATGTTGGGAACGTCCAATTTTAAAATTATTGCGCAGAAAACGAAGGAGGTTAAACGCCGTCACCGGATTGATTAGTATGAGTTGGAAGGACTGTTTGTTTCATCTCGAATTGGTTTTTACTAGATCTAGAACTGTGTCCTGTTATTTTAAGCTGATGTTTTGTAAGGTATCAGCTGTATCAAACCTTCTGAAGTACTTGGAAATTAAGCCCCATGTCGCGGATCTGTTTTGTTGGCTTTGTGCTCCTGCAGTAGGTTTTTAATGCTGCCAGGCCCAGCTGCTTGAAAAGTGATTGTCAGGCTCCCACAATCACACTCAATATAGCCACAACTGTTATTTTGAATCATCCGTTTCACCGCGTTTCTGCTGGTTGACTGATGAGGAGTCAGTTCCCCAAGTTCTCCCTATAGGGAGGGTAACGGAGGCACCTTGCAGGCCCCTGCCTCCCCGGGGCACGGGGAGCTGGTGCTGGATGGCAAGCAGCAAGCCTTGACAGGGAGCCGTGCACGCTGGCAAGTCTGGCGCTCGTTTTTCCTGCCCTGTTGTGCTGCTGCAAAGCTTTGCTGGCCTCTGGGGCTGGCATGGGAAGGCACCGGGCCGCTCCTGGCGAGGCAGGCTGCCTTGGGGCAGGGGAGGGTGGGCGTGAAGCGAGGTGCCCACGGCTGGGCTACGCCGGGCTCCCGAGGCAGATCTGGGCCAGTGGGGCCAGGAGGAGGTGGTGGTTTGCAGCTGGGTGGCTCCAAACCCTTCCCTGTACCTCCTTTAGAGTCAGGCCCTTGCTAAGGCTTCCCGAATTTCTAGGGCAAGAGTAACTAGTTACCCTGCTGTCAGACGCGCATCTTTTCCACCGCGTTCGGTGGAGTGAGGCCAGTGGACCATAGGATATGGTCCTTAATGCATCTGCTGTTCCTCTCTCCATCTTACACTCTTTTATTTGAGCTTTCCCCCAACTTCTCCTTTGGTCTCCCCGTCAGCTTAGGAAAGCATCTTCTCTCTGAGCTCAGTGCTGCCCTTTGGGAAGGGAGCACATCCTCCTCTGTGTCACCAGTTCAGACTCAATGCGAGATGGGAAGCGGATGTAGAAGTGGGGACGGGGCGGTGGGGTTGCTTGCCAGCCTTTGGGTCAAGACAGGTCCTCTCGGCACGAGCGCGGCTGGTGGCACTAACTCCTCTCCTGGCTGGCTTCCTCGGGATGCAGGGCGCAGTCCGCCAGCACAGCCCGAGGCAGGACTCGGGGGACACTCGGCAGCGGGCGAGACTGGGGGCTGAGGGAGCTATGGGCTGCACCCAGCACCAGGGGAGGAAGAGAGACAGGCCGTTAGCATGGTCGCTGTGTTTTAATCTCTTATCACACGTACCTGTGTAATGAGCTCTAAGCTCTGCTGCTGTCTTTTCCAGCGGCAAGGCAAAGGAGGCAAAGCCAAGCAAAACAGTCCAGACCTTGTTTTTAATCCTTCTCTACTTTTACACCCTGATGGGGCGGTTGAGAAAGAAGGGATGGGCTGAGACCGATGTGGACAGGAGGTGGAGGGAAGGTGTCTGTAGTTGCATCTGTCTTTTCCTCCCTGCTTCTCTCTGCTCTCTCCCCCCACCCTGCTCTCTCTCTCCCTCCGCGCTCCTCTCCTCTCCCTCTCCCCCTTTTTCGTCTGTGTCTTGTGTTTTACAGTGTTGCCTGTTTGGAGGAAGGAATTGTGTCCTTGCAGCACCCTTCTGCTCCCTACCTGGACATCTCTGCTAGGAGGTCGGCTTTCTCTCCTTCTCCGTAGCCAGTGACAGTCCTGGCCTCTTCTCACTACTCCCCTCCTCTCTAGTTTTGCTTGAGAGCCCCTGGGATGGAGAGATTGCTCTGGTTTTGCTCCCATCCCTCACCCCAAACACTTCCTGCTGGAATGGAAATGCCTTGCAGTGCAGTGGGGTCTTGTCTGGTGCTTGCTGTGGCTTGACCCTTCGAGACAAATGAGAGTGGGAGCAGAGGTGGGTGCTGTGAGCCCCCCAATCCTTAGCAAGCCCCTCTTTGGCTGATACATCAGTCTGGACTGCTCCTGGTTGATCTTACCTCTCCTTTTGCCCCCAACTAACCCCCCTTTCTTCCCCACCTCCTCTTTCCCAGAGACTTCTGCCTGCCTGGGACTGTGATGCTTGTCCCTTTGCTCTCCGCAGTGTGTGTCACGCTTGTCTGTGCAAGTCCGGTGGGCAGGGGCTCTGCAAGGGATTGCAGCTCCCCTCCCCAGCATCCAGCAAAGCACCGTGTGCCTTCTGGAAGCACTGAGGAGCTGTCTGTGCTCAGATGTGGTTCTTCTCTAAGAACACTCCCCTGTGTGCCTGTGGAGCTGGTGCTGGAGCCCGCTGGGTGTCATGGGCACAGATCGATGGGGTGTGATGGGTTACAAAGCAGCTTCAGAGCCTCTTCCCTATAGCCATCCACAGGCAAGGCTTGCAGGAGAGCTCGGCGTCCCCAGGGCTTGGTTAGGTTTCTGCGCAGCTTGGCAGCAGGCGAGGGATCATGCCCTTTAATCAGTCAGGGTGCAGAATGGGCATTTTTGCTCTTGCCTCCATTTCCCTGCCTACGAGATGGAGAAGGGCCAGGAATCAAAGCGGGTCTTGATTATAGCGCAGCCTGGGGTCCCCCTCAGTAGGTCCTCATTATATCCACCCACATCAAAACTGGTGCCAAAACTCCCATTAACATCTGCAGGTGCCCAGGGCTGTGTGGGAAATTTCACAGGCTGAGGTTCAGGCTGTGAAGGAACTTCATGTGCTGCATCTCTGCAGGTTTGCTTGCTTAAGAAGGGTGAGAAATGTCAGGGCAGTGTTCTCCATCAGACTCGGCACCTCCCTGCACTCTCACTCACTGCTCACTTGCTCCCCAACACAAGAGCGTGAATTTGAAATCCAAATGAATGAGTGCATTTGCTTCATGCCTAGCTCGTTGCATCCTTACTGCCTAATTGTGTCCTGCAGAGGTGCTTTCTCCATGCAAGCATGTGTGTCTCTGTTTGGGGGACATGATTGCGCTACAAATGTTGTTTTTAAAAACAAGTGAAACACAAGCGGGAGACGTGAGCAGCATCGCAGGGCTGAGCACAGCAGGGAGCGGTTCCTGGCCCTTGGGAACTGCTCATAAACTCTTCGCTGCAGGGAAGTTGGGGACACAGTTGAAAAGGCTGGGTCGAAGTAGTGGCCATGTGCCTGAACTGTCCCCTTCTTCCCTGTTCATTTGCAGACTGTTGGCTCTAAGTTTTGACTTGGCAGGTGCTTCCCAAAGAGCCAAATCCAAAATTCAGACTTGCCCATGCTATGGGCCGTTTTCTCACTGGTTGACAGCACGCAGCCAGAGTCCCGAGGGCTGAAGCCTTGCTCTTGCTCTGCGGAGATGCCACCTTGGTCCTAGCAGGGGAGGAAAAATGGTCCTGTTGCTCCTGTCCACTGTGCCAGCAGGCTCCGGAAGGCTTTGTCTTTCCCACCGCTCTCTGGCTCTGTGCCTGCCTCGCTGTTTGGTGTTGGTGGGGCTGCGCTGTGTCTGCCTGTTGCATCCATCTCGCCTTGGCTGCATTGTCTGTTCCCCACGTCCGTTTTGTCATGTGTCCTCGTCAGTGTTCAGCATGGATTAAATCCGTGTCCTTTCCTTGCCCCAGGTCCTCAGGGCTTTTCTGTTGTCACAAGAAGGGGTTGCTGGGCAGTGCTGTGTCTCTCCCCAGCAGCACAGCCAATCCTGCCTTTTAGGTGCCTGTCTTGACTTATGGATGGGGGAGGGCATTTCTTGA